TCAACAAGTCCACCACAACTTTTGAAATGACATTCGGTATTTTTTTTAAATTATAATTCAGTTTCTATTATCATGGTGTTATAATTAAATAATTTGGCAGTTATATTCAAAACATTACTTTAAAAATCGTACAAATTGTATTTATTTTATTTTTATAAAATAATAATGAAAAAGATTTAAAAAAAAGGAAAATAAATAAAATGATTAAAATGAAACAAAAAAAAATGAAAAATTACAATATAAAAGTGTTAATTTAACATAATGATATTATATAAAAATAAACAACTCGACGTTATATAACAATAACAAAATATTATATACGATTATTAAAAATAATTTTGATTGTTTATCTTATAGTTAAATAAGAGAATTATTTGTTATTTATATGTTTATCTACGCTAATAATGTTTTCCTTATAATATTCTTTTCAGTCTACTTAATTACATATTAATCCGAATTAAAACTAGTTGCTTCATTCCTCCAAACAGACATGATTGATGTAAGGCTTAAAAGTTTTAAATCCGTTAAATTTATGAAATGTTTTTAGACTATTTAAATCAACTTTTTTTAATCATTAAAAATTACTTTCTTTAGTCTCTCAAATCCAAATATTATTTACCATTTCACTTATATGACTACTATATATAATTTACATCCTAACATATGTGATTTTGTGTTTTTATTCTTAAAATATAAAATTACACTATTTTTAAAAGTTTTTTTTTTAAACAATGTTTACCTAGAAGATGTTTGATTTTTTTTTTTCAAATTACTAAACTATAAAGATGGACTTTAGATTTGAAAGATCAAAATTAGTTTTTAGTTCAAATTTAAGTAAGAGAACTTCGTGGTTCATATCCACTCACAATAAACCAAGCAACTTCCTTCAATAAAATAACTAAACTCCTATATATAAAATAGAATGTTTCAAACCTCCACCACTTGGCTGTTTCCTCTGGCGGCACACGAGTCTGTTCTGAAAATCTCATTTATAATAAACTTAAAGTGTTTTATATGCTTCTTAAAATATACACAAATGAAAATAATTTAATAATTATTTTATGATAAATGGCCGAATTTTGTTTTTAATCATATAAGTGACTTTTTGTTACACGAGTCTATAGAAGAAAAAAATTAACTGATTCCTCTTGTATCTGTCTCGAGTTTTTAATCACGTAAAATTTGACATACAATACATAATTATAATTGAAGTTCATCTAGAATATTTAAAATTGTCTTCGATAAATTAGAGGTGATGTAAGTCAAAAAGGTGAGCAGAAGCCCGACTTCCATTGGACAGTTTCTGAGGTGATTCGTGCAAACAAATTGAATCATATATTTGACTCGTTTCTGAGGTGATTCGTATGTTTGTCTGTCTTTTTCAAGCTGAGGTGATACGTGTGGATCTGTCCGTCTTATTTGATGTGAGGTTTTGGTCCGTCAACGGTAGAAGCCATGGGATAAAAACAAAGAGAGAAGGAAAATGGTGTTGAGTTTGAATTATGGTGAGATTAAAAAAGGGATATTGTAGGGCTGATTGAGCGTTATAAATAGTTAGTGGGGGAGAGTTGAGTGCTCACATCGACAGAGTGGAATAAAAGAGAAAGAGTGAGAGAAATAGATTTGAGTTTTGTGGAGTTTCTGAAGCATGGCCAACTCTACCGTTTTCCTTTGCCTTAACCTCTCTTTACTAATCTCTCTCGTCACCGCCACTTACTATCAAAGCCTAACCCCAACGCTGATGGGTTTCCGTGAGGACAAGTTCACTCATCTTCACTTCTTCTTCCACGACGTAGTCACCGGGCCCAACCCCAGCATGGTCATTGTCGCCGAGCCCAACGGAAAAGCCAAGGACGCCCTTCCCTTCGGCACCGTTGTCGCCATGGACGACCCCTTGACGGCCGGACCCGAACCCGACTCCAAACTCGTGGGGAAGGCCCAGGGCATTTACACTTCCATATCTCAGGCCGAGATGGGGCTCATGATGGTTATGACCATGGCCTTCACCGACGGAGACTTCAACGGCAGCACCATCAGCGTGTTGGCCAGAAACATGATCATGAGCGAACCCGTTAGGGAAATGGCCATCGTTGGCGGCACTGGGGCTTTTCGCTTCGCTCGTGGCTACGCTCAGGCCAGGTTCCACTCCGTCGATTTCTCCAAAGGCGATGCCATCGTCGAATACGACGTCTTCGTCAATCATTATTGACACTCATATTATAATACTAGTTATTATCATTCACCCTTTTGTTTNATCAAACTGTTAAAATATGTCAAATATTATTAGCAAATATTAGACAATGAAACATTGTGTTTGTTATAATTTATGTATTATTATAATTTATACAGATTTGAGTAGCTATCATTTCTTTACCACATAAAACATTATAGAATTCTTGTATATATACATATAATACATTAATCTTTTAAATAATACATTAGAATTATTCTTTAAACCTTTTTATACCAACATCAACTACTTTTTAATTAATAAAAATGAATTTATCATTGAAATGATATTTGAATGAATTGTATACTGCCATCTTTCATGAATCAATAATATTTATAAATACTGCTGTCTGATTTATGTTATGATATAATATTTGATTATATTGGGAAATAAAATAATCTGAAAGAAATAAAGTCTAATATTGACAAATGCCAATGACAACTTTTTATGACTATAATGCACAATTGCTGACGAATGGAAATGTTTTTAAAAAGTTATTAACACTGTAAAGTAATTCAAGGTAAACTTCTTCTAAGAACACTCAAAATGGGGTGTGTGTAGAGAGAAAACTTGGAGATAGAGAAGGTTATGCACCTCACAGCATAGACATGCATTACATATTATCAAAATCAAAGGAGAACAACAAAACAACATATTCTAGAAACTGATAACATCGTACCACCACATTCAACTAGAATACATCTGCGTCAAAGACAACAACACAGTGGGAAAGCTCATGTTTTTCTTCTCAACATCAACAGTCTGGGCAGGAACGAGGTTTACTCCCTACACAACCTTATATTGCTCTCTGCATTATCATATTTTTTTAAATTCCAAAACTATGATTTATATTTTAAAATATCCTACATCCTTACCTCTTTTTTTCAACGGATGTTAACATTCGTTGAAAAAAAATTCTTTAACGGATGTGTTACATCCGTTGAGTTTGTGCTTTTTTAGTTTTAGTTTTTTAATTTATTATATTTTAAATTAATATATAAATATTATTTAATTTTTTCAAATTATTACTTAATTATTTATAAATTAATTTTATTTTATTTAATAAAACAAATATTATTAATTTAATTTATGTATTATTATTTAAATAATAATTAAAATAGTTTTTACAAATGTATTAAAACGGATGTGTCAATGGATGTGGAAACATTCGTAGAATTTTTTTTAGATTTTAAATTTTTAATTTTTTATATTTTAAATTAATATATAAATATTGTTTAATTATTTTAAAATTATTACTTCATTATTTATAAATTAATTTTATTTTATTTAATAAAATAATTATTATTAATTTAATTTATGTATTATTATTTAAATAATAATTAAAATATTTTTTATAAATTTATTAAAATGGATGTGACGACATCTGTTGAAGATTTTTTTTAGTTTTTAGTTTTTTAATTTTTATATTTTAAATTAATATATAAATATTATTTAATTTTTTTAAAAGTATTATTTAATTATTTGTAAATTAATTTTATTTTATTTAATAAAATAATTATTATTAATTTAATTTATGTATTATTATTTAAATAATAAATAAAATATTTTTTAAAAATTTATTAACCGGACATCCACATCCGTTGAAGTTCTTTTGTAAAATAAAAACAATAAATTAAAATATAAAATATGTAAATAGATGTCAACATCTGTTTACGGATATCAACATTCATTGAAGGTAAAATGAATGTTGACATCCGTTTTAAAGGAAGGACAAATTAGGTATGGAATAATGAAGGAAACGGTTCGTAGTGGTGGAGGGAACAACGGCCATGCTCTGCTACTACCAAAGCCCACATCAGCCTCGGAGAACACGGTGAATGATGCAGAATAAAAATAAGAGTCTAATACATGATAATAAAATAAAGTAAATTTTAAGTTTAATTTAATTTTTAAATTAATTTATACACTTACATATTTTAAATTGATTTTAATTTATGATTTTGATACTATATTAACTTTAATAGATATGAATGATTTTGATACTATATATATAAAATATAAATTGTTATTGTTTTTAATAGATATGAAATTTTTAATATATATTGATTTCGAACTTTTTAAAGCCACAAAAAACAATCTTTTAGTAAAAAGCTCGTAAATAGTACAATTATCGTACAAGACTCACAATTCTTCACGAATTCAGTACCACTATTACACAAATTAAGTGTATTATATATACATCACCAACAATTCTTGCCATCAGTGTCACATTTGTAAAAAGAAATGCAAATTAGGAAATGAGAAAACCGACTTAAGTGGTATAGTTTGATAGGAAAGTGGTGGCGGTGGTGAACTTATGGTGTGTGTTGGTTGCGTACCCCTGGGATATCAGAGATTTTTAAAAATAATTTTTTTTTTCATTCTCATCTACGTTAGTATCAAACATAAAACATCATTTCTACTATTTTTTTTAATCATTTTATAAAGAAGTTGATAATTATTAACATCTATTCTCTAATTTCATTAATCATGTTTAGTATTATTATTTTTTCTTTTAACAACTTATTTTGATGATGTATATATGAGATATTCAAATATTAATAACCATTATAGGTGTTAAGGAGTGAGCAAGTACACCGAACTTACATTCTTTGTGTTCTTAGCCATTTTATAGTTTGTGAGAGAACTATTATAATATTTCTTACGTTGTAAAGTTATATATCTCTAATATTTTAAAGCCACTTTTCTTGATAAAGATGTATTATAATAAGTCGTTTCTCCTGTGTTTTTCTTCGTTTCCAAGCTGAGGTGATACGTGTGCATCTGTCATTCTTATTTTATGTGAGGTTTTGGTCCGTCAACGGTAGAAGGCATGGGATAAAAACAAAGGGAGAAGTGAAAATGGTGTTGAGTTTGAATTATGGTGAGATTAAAAAAGGGATATTGTAGGGCTGATTGAGCGTTATAAATAGTTAGTGGGGGAGAGTTGAGTGCTCACATCGACAGAGTGGAATAAAAGAGAAAGAGTGAGAGAAATAGATTTGAGTTTTGTGGAGTTTCTGAAGCATGGCCAACTCTACCGTTTTCCTTTGCCTTAACCTCTCTTTACTAATCTCTCTCGTCACCGCCTCTTACTATCAAAGCCTAACCCCAACGCTGATGGGTTTCCGTGAGGACAAGTTCACTCATCTTCACTTCTTCTTCCACGACGTAGTCACCGGGCCCAACCCCAGCATGGTCATTGTCGCCGAGCCCAACGGAAAAGCCAAGGACGCCCTTCCCTTCGGCACCGTTGTCGCCATGGACGACCCCTTGACGGTCGGACCCGAACCCGACTCCAAACTCGTGGGGAAGGCCCAGGGCATTTACACTTCCATATCTCAGGCCGAGATGGGGCTCATGATGGTTATGACCATGGCCTTCACCGACGGAGACTTCAACGGCAGCACCATCAGCGTGTTGGCCAGAAACATGATCATGAGCGAACCCGTTAGGGAAATGGCCATCGTTGGCGGCACTGGGGCTTTTCGCTTCGCTCGTGGCTACGCTCAGGCCAGGTTCCACTCCGTCGATTTCTCCAAAGGCGATGCCATCGTCGAATACGACGTCTTCGTCAATCATTATTGACACTCATATTATAATACTAGTTATTATCATTCATCCTTTTGTTTTGCTTTATGCTTTGTAATTCACCCCACCCTTATAAGGTCACTGTCTTTCCCTCCTCTTACGATGCACTGTAAGAATATAACTTGTGGGGGTATTGTCTTATTATTGATGTATGTTGTTAGCTTTTATTTTCTCTTGTCAACCAATTCATATTGACATTGATATTGGTAGAGAATATTCTCACTACGTCGTTTCCAAACAAATGCAAACATTCCATTCTAAACATAGTAATGCTGTTTACTGTTGCCTTTGAAATATTATGTAATATCAGAGTCACATCGGCCATTAGGGTTAATTTTGTATTTTTGTAATATACTTCTTTTTTTAAGTGGAAATGAAAAATTATCATCTTCCCTGTTATTACATCTAATTTTTATTGTTCCTCCACTACGAAACAGACACTCAAAAATATCTTGTAATTGTTGAATGATTGATTAGTTTTACGCATAGAGAAAAATAGCTTTTATAATATCGATAATAAGAGATTATAATATTTTAAAATATAAAAATGCGTAGAGAACCGTTGTATACTATAAAATCTTAACTTCTTTTTTGTTATATACGAGGATGATTTTTTTATATATATAAAAAAAGCTCATACAAATATTATATTATATTTTTCCTCCCTGAAAAGGATTTATAAAGACGCCGTTGGTCAGCATCATGACAATTTCACGATTTTGTAAACTATTTTCTAACTTTTTTAAGTAATTACTTCTCAATTTATATGTCTTGTGGTGTTTTAGAACAAAAATCACCACCCAATTGTTTTAATTATGTTGAGCAAAATTTGCGATATTTTATACATTAGAGGACAAATTTTAAATGTTGTGCAACTTTGGAGGTCAAACAATAATCAAGAGCTGAAGATATCACCAGCGAACTTAAGTTTCTCTTCTAAAAAAAAAGCTAAAAAATCTACTAACAATACTTATTTTTCTATCATTAAAATCTTCCTCTTTAAAATTTTAATTAAAAGCGTTATTTATGTTCACTTCTATGTTGTATGACATGTTAAAATAAAGTACATAACATATTTAAAAAACTAAATATATAAATTGAGTAACAACATATGTAACCATTTAAGTGTTGTAATTTTTTTTTATCATTGATACCAACAATTTAAATAATACTTAATATTTTATACTGATAAATTTATTTATAATAATAATAATAATAATAATAATAATGATAGTAAAATACTTTAGTTATATTTACGTACAGAGAGATTTATTAACATCAAATTTTACAACAGGCACACATATGTATTATTGCACTAGTAAAAAAAGTAGTTACGAAGGTGCCATATATGTTTCGGTTATGCTAAAACCGAAGCTTAAAAGATTATACGCATCTGTTATACTGTAACCCGTGGTGGAAGGGTGATACTGCCTCGGCTCACACAAGAACCGAAGCCTATACTCTTGCTTCGTGCACTGCAACTCAGACTGACAGCTTTTTTAGAAGGCTTTATTGCCTCGGGTGGCCAGCAACCGATGCTTAAAGGCATCTGCAAGTCAGAAACTGCTCTGCAAGTTAGGTTGTGATGGTGACAGCTCTCTACTGCCTCGGTTAGCCAAGCAACTGAAGCCTATACCATATGGCTGTATTACCTCGGATTTTTTGTTCAACCGGTGCCATATAGTCAAATTCAGTTACCTGCCTACTAATGTTCTTCTCTCTGCTGCATCCAAGATCCAAAAAAGTTTAAAGGTCTCGACTTTCTTCTCTCTATTGGACGGTTAAAGGTCTCCACTTTCTTCTCTCTGTTGCACGGTTAAAGTCACCACTTTCTTCTCTCTCGTTGCATCTTCTCTCTCGCTGCATCTAGATCCAAAAAAGTTCTCGACTTTTCTTCTCTCTCGCTGCATCCAAGCTGTTGCTTCCTCCCCGCTGCATCCAGATTTGTCGAGCTCCCTTTGGTCATTGGCGGCGTGGTTCATCCGGGCGAGCCTCTCGTCACCAGCTTCATCCATTGGGGAGCAACGGAGCCCATAGTCGAGTGTGGGAAGGCTCGAGGTGGGGCTGAAAGCACCGTAGTGGCCGCGGAAAGCAGGGCTTCAACCACTGGACCCCGGTGCGAATCGGCAGCGAGTATAGGGGTTGAACCACTAGACCCCGGTGCAGATCGAGGAACGAGGCTTGAACCACTGGATCCCGGTGCGGATCGGCGGCGAGTAAAGGGCTTGAACCACCCGAGGACGGAGGAGTGAGGGTGGAGGGCGGAGGGGATGGCAACGCCGGAGGATTCAGATTTTTTAGGTGATAATTTTTTGGGTTTTGTCGAGGGTGGTGACGGTGGCGAGGTCTTGTCTTCCTGCTGATAATTTTATGGGTTTTCTTGTGTGCATTTGGAACCACTACATTCAGATTCAAGCTGCTGATAATTTTTTGGGTTTTCTTGTGTGCATTTGGAACCACTAGATTCAGATTCAGGCTGCTGATAATTTTTTGGGTTTTCTTGTGTGCATTTGGAACCACTACATTCAGATTCAGGCTCAGAAATTGAATCTCACTGATTGACGGTGGCGAATTGTAAAATCTGAAAAAAAGAACACGTTACTGCCTCGGTTCTTTAAAAACCAAGCCATAATTCTGTCTTATTTTATTCCGGTTCGTGAACGAGGCATAAAGCCTACTTTTTTTACCTCGGCCGTATATATTTCGGTTGCAAAACCGATGTCTATAAGCAACAACAACCGATGTCTTTTCTTCTTATTGTACTAGTGTTGGCTGCGGCTGGACAACTAAATATAAAGCATATTTGAAAAATCAACAAGATTCACTGATATATTATATTCTTTAAAATGTAATGTTTGAGAAAAATTATATTTTTGGTGTTTTGAGAATTTTTTTAATATAATCATAATATATATTTCTTAAAATACTTAATTTAAATTTAATTACTACTACAAAATTAGTTTCTAAATTATGTTTTGAGTTTATTTATATAATATCATTTAGTTATATTATGAGTTTTCCAGCACACAAATTATTATTCTTAAGTGTTAGACTAGGATAAGCGGGGTGAAACGTGATTTTTTTAAAAATATTAGTGAAATCCAACTATATAATGATACGTTCAACGATATATTTCACAAGAAATATCTAAAAAATTAATAAAAGAATTATCTAGTAATTATTTCATCTGTAATAAAAAAAATCATAAATTTCATTAAATTTCAATTTACCATGAAAACTAGACATATATTTTGTTTTAATACAAAAATTATCTTACAAACAAACACCAAAAAAAAAACAAAAGACATGAATACAAAATCATGATTGAATTACTTAATAAACAATCACGGTCAAACTGAAAATGAAAAGATTAATAAATACACCCAACAACAAAACAAAATCAATGAAAATGCATAAATGAATCCATAAACCATCATCACAAGAGCGTTGTTATTGTTTTTGCACGGTAAAAAATTGAGGGGAACTTTCGTTCTTATATATATTGTATTTTTATTTTAATAAAACATATAACTTTGATAGAATAATTTGAATAATGAAATCCTATCTCTAACATTTTTGTTACTTGTTCTTCAACAGCATGTCGAATAGTTTCCTAATTTAATATGGAAATTACAGGGAAAAATTAGAGGAAGTTGACAACGACAACTATAAAGTCTTTATTTTTTTTTTTTTTCATAAAAATATTTCATTTAATTCATTTATAATACTTGGTCGTGTTTAAAAAAAAGTAAAAAACTATTAATCAATTAATAATCATACAACCATTTAAATATTGTTATTTTGTTTTTATCTTTAATAGCCGCCGCCACCTATGCACATGTGCCGGCATGCTCAAACATTGGAAGAATCACGTTCAATAGATCGCTCTACACGCAAAGATATATTAAATAATAAGTATTATTTAAATTAATGGTATTAAAGATAAAATATCGAACTTATGAACTTAAAAGGAATATTAAAGGGAATCAAGAATGATACTACAAATGAGAAGACTTAGGAACTTAAAAGAATATTAAAGACCTTTAAAAACTAGTAAAAGTGTTAAATTGAATATTTTGCATGATTTGTTGGAAATAAATGGGTTTGACTTTGATAATTTACTATAAAAATTCATATTTTTATTTATGGAGGCTATATTTTACATGAAAAACATGAATTTATTCAACCTTTGGAGTTTGAAGTTGGTGCGTAATTAGTGGTCTGATCCTCATCCATGACATGATGATAAGAGTATTTATAAGAAAGTGAAGATAGTGAGCTATCAAATCTTTGAATTTCAGTAATTTCACGCATCCAACTACTAAATAACTGACCATAAGATGCCCTTGAATTCAAAATTAAATCTGTTATTTTCCGCTGTTCAAAATTACTATTTTTAAACTACTCCGTACTTTATTGACCGACTACCTTTCATGTTTGACTTGCAAACACGAGATAAACGAGTCTACACTTTGAAAACAACTTGTAAATAATTATTTTCAACTAATTAATAAATTTAAATATTTTTAATTAAAACTTTTTAAATTATTTTTATATTCAATATTTAATTTTTTCATTTTTATTTAAGTATTGTATGTATGATTTTAGAGTTAATGAAATAAACTGATTTTTTTTTCCAATCATATACTTTCTTTCTCTTTTAAAAAGAGTTTACTCAAATTAAAAAAAGAAAAAAGACAAGTTCATTAAAAATGATAAAATGAAAGTAATAATTGTGTCATCTCGTTAATTACAAAATCAAACAATAAAATACCGTACAAAAATAAAAAATATTTTCACTACTCAATAAAAGAATTTTTTTTAACACCTTAATTAAAAATATTTAAATTTATAACTTACTTAAAAAGGAAGTTATAATATTTTTAAAAGTTTTACTATTTTTTAATTTTTTAATTTAAATAACAAGTAATTATTTCTTCAAGGTTTGAAAATAAAATGAAATATCTTATACGTATGATATTATATTTTTTATAGGGTGAGGGAAAAAATGAGAATGACATATTAAAAGTCTGAATATGATGTTATAATACTATTTGTCTTTAGACCTATATAAAAATAAATTTGATATTTTAATCTATAGCTAAGTTGCTAATAATTTGACTACTGAAGTCGCTGTACGAAAATTGACCAAAAAGTCGATGAGTAACAGCATTGATTGAAATTAAATAAAATTTTAATTCTATGACAACTATCGGGACTATTGACAGAAGTATCAGACATCTATCAAAATAACTTTCAAACATTTTATATATATATATATATATATATATATATTTTTTAAATTAATCAAA